AAAAATTAGCCTGTTTTCTTATATAGTTCTATAATTTTGACAAATGCATAATCATGTAACCATTGCCACAGTTGAGGTACAGAACAATTCCACTGCCCCCATTTATCCTTCCTTTTTGTAGTCAACCCTTCTCTTCAGCCCTAACTAACGGCAAAAACTAATCTGTTTTCCCTTCCTATGGTTTGGCCTTTTTCAATATGTCATATAAATGCAGGCATACAGTGTGTGGCCTTTTGAACCTGTCGTTTTTCACTTCTCAGACACATTTGAGATACATGTTCTTTTATGTATCAATATTTTTTTATATTCCATTCCTGGGAAATGTTCTATTATTTGAATGTACCACAGTTTTTGTCCAGCTGAAGAATGTTTAGATTGTTTCCAGTTTTGAGAGCTTATGATAAAGCTACTATAAACACTCACATAGAGGTTTTTGTGTTACCATTTCTCTTGTGTGGATGTCTAGAAGTGGATTGCTTGATCATATGGTAATTCTGTTTAATTTTGTAAGAAACTGCTAAACTATTTTCCACAGTGGTTGCACTACTTTACATTCCCACTAGCAACATATGATAGTTCCAGTTGTTCTGCATCCTTTTCAACACTTGGTATTATCAGGTTAAAGAAAAGTATTTTAGTTATTCTAAGATGTATGTCGTGGTATCCCATTAAAGATATGCAAATGGACAATAAGCAGATGAAAAGATGCTTAATATCGTTAGCCACTGGGGTAATGAAAATCAAAACCACAGTGAGCTACCACTTCACACACACTAGGATGACTGTAATCAGAAGATAGAAAATAACAAGTATTGATAAGGTATAGAGAAAATGGAACCCTCATACACTATTGGTAAGAATGTAAAATGGTGCAGTTGCCGTGAGAAACAGTTTGACAGCTTCTCACATGGTTAAACCTAGAGTTATCGTATGATCTAGTAACTCCACTCCTAGTTATATACCTAAGAAAATTGAAAACATAAGTCCAAACAAAAACTTGTATGTGAATATTTATAGGAATATTATTTATAATAGCCCAACAGTGGAAACAACCCAAATTTCTATCAACTAATGAATGGATAAACTTTGGTTTATACAGTGGATTGAAATATGTAGTGATGCACCATGCTACAACATGAGTGGACTTTGAAAACCTTATGCTAAGTAAAAGAAATGAGTCACACGAGACCACATATTTTAAGATCCCATTTATTTGAAATGTTCAGAATAGGGAAATCTCCAGATTCAGGAAGTAGATTAGTGGTTGTCTGGGGTTGGTGGAGATAGAGGGATTACAAGTTGACAGCTACAGGATGCAGGATGTCAATTTGGGAGTAAAGAGAATGTTCTAAAGTTGATTATGTATGGTTCAGGATACACAACTCTGAATATAAAAAAAAAATCCAATTGTATACTTTAAGTGGGAGAATTATATGGTATGTGACATATCTGAAAGCTGTTAAATTTACCAGTTTTAACAGTACAATTTAATTTTTAGTGAATATACGGAATTATGCACATATCACCACAAAATGGTTTTAGAAGATTTTTTATTACTCCAAAGAGATTCTTTGTGTTTATATGTAGTCAATGGCTAGTCCCACTCCAGCCCTGGGCAGCCACTAATCTGCTTTCTGTATCTAGATTTACCCTTTTGGCATATTTCATGTAAATGGAATCATATTACTTTTGGAATCATACAATTTTTGCATCCAGCATCTTAGGACCAGTTTCTCCAATCCTTGCTAATGCTAGTTATTGTCTGTATTATTTATTATAGCTATTCTGGTGGGTTTGTAATGATGTCTTATTGTGGTTCTAATTTTTATTTTCCTAGAGATCAGTGATTTTGAATATCTCTTCTGTGCTCATTAGCCATTGTTATATCTTTAGTGAAATGTGTATTCAAATATTTTGTCAATCTAAGAAATCAGATTTTTTTTATTGTTATCTTTTCAGAGTTCTTTATACATTTTGTTACAAAGTTTTTCTGGTTAGATATGTGATGTAAAAATATCTTCTCCCAGTCTGTGGCTTGTATTTTCATTCTTCTAACAATGTCATTTGCAGGGCAAAAGTTTTTAATTTTGATAAAACCCAGTTAGTCAATTTTCTTTCTTTTATGATATATCAGAGAGCTCATTGCCCGACTTTGGATCTTAAAGATTTCTCCTATGTTTTCTTTTTAAAAATATTGAAGTTTTGTTTTACATTTATATCTGTGTTCCCCTTTGAGTTAATTATAGTACATGGTGTGAGGTATAGGTTGAGGATCTTTTTTTGCATGTGGATGGTCAATTGTTCTGGCACCATTTGATTAAAATGCTATCTTTTCTCTATTGAAATGATCTTACACCTTTGTCAAAAATCAATTGACCATATTTGTGTGGGTCTACTTCTGTGTGCTTCCCTGTGCATTACTTTTCTTTTGCTCTATCTCTTTTTGTCTTTTTGCCCATTTTTTTTGTTTTCTCCTATTACTTTTCTGATTCTCTCCTTCCCTCTCCTGATTTTCCCTTCCCCCATTCCCTTCCTCAAAATGAAGCATTTAGATTGCATTGTTTTTTATACCATACTTATTTTTCATTTAAAAAGCAGTAGATGTGAAGCATTTGTGTTTTTCTTTACAGGTACAATATACTGGAAACAAACACTTTAAAATTATAACCTTTAATTAGTTTTTCTCAGTGAATTAGTGGGTGTAATGAAAGATGGCAATCCCTCCTCCCAAACAGTATGTTTCAGAACTTTTGTGAAAGGCATCACTTTTCCAAGGTTTTTTTTTAAAAAGAAATTAGTGGCTGGACATGGTGGCTCATTCCTGTAATTCCAGCACTTTGGGAAGCTAAGATGGGAGGATAGCTTTAACTCAGGAATTTGAGACCAGCTGGACAATGTGGCAAGACCCCGTCTTTACAGAAAATACAAAAATTATCCGGGTGCAGTGGTGTGCACCTCTGGTCCTAGCTACTTGGGAGGCTGAGAAGGGAGGATTGTTTGATCTGAAGAGGTTGAGGCTGCAGTCAGCTGTG